GACCAGCAAATATTTACGAAGAGGGATGGATAGCGACACGCTGCAGTGACGCTCCGGAATGTGTATTGGTGAGACCGCTATCTGTCTTCCAAAAACCCATCATGCTGCAAAGGGTCACGCCCTGGAAGCAGAGACCAAAAAGCCCCGGAGCCCTTGGACTGGGATGCCGGCCTATGGCACACGCACACATATTGACACACTACAGGCAGTTCAGAGACACCAATTCCCCAAGCCATATGGTGGAAACGCGGGGAGAACATGCACACGCACAGACTCGGGGGCGGGATTCCATCGGCCCTCCCGGGGCTGTGAGGCAGCAGCTCTACCCAAGGAGCCACATGTGTAATATTTATCTTCAGCGGGTCTCGGAAAATGTCCTCTTAATAATGAAATGTAGCTCATGGGAGTTTTATTTACACAAAAATGTTCTGAGGGTAGAAGGAAAAATGACTGGTTGAGAGAGATAACCAATCATATTGTAGAGGAGGTGGGTCCAAGCAGCTAGAGGAGGCAGGACCAACCAAGATGTCTTGGTCCCACCTCCTGTAGTTCATTGGACCCACCTCCACTACAGCATCATAAGTTATCTCTCTCAACCAGTCATTTTTTCCTTCTGCCCTCAGAAACATTTTGGTGCAAGTAAAACTCCCACGAGCTGAAATGCACGACACTGAATATTATGAGCATAACTAGAAATCAATGACTTACTGGGGCATTCTTGTGTCTCTCATACCCAGTTATAACTGCTTACATTTTCTGCATGATACACTGTCAATGAAATGCAGGTAAATCCAAGTATAAACGATAACATGAATTTGTTCTGTGTTTCAGAATATTTGTTTTGAGTTGTCTGATAATAGATAGTTCCCTTAAATTTGCAGTCCTGATGTTTGTCACACATATACATACGTACAGGGGTTCCCAACAACACCAACTTAACACAAAGCCAAGGTCCATAGCTTTTTTTTTGGGGGGGGGGGCTGTCCATAGCTTTTGGGGTACGTGTGTATGGGGGGGCATATATCACATTTGTATTTTTTGAGTCCGCTAGTTGGTTTCTAGTTGATGGACAGCAAATCACAAGTTTGATAAGCAGTGCAAAGTTTTCCAGGTGCTTTACTTTCAGCAAACGGTTCGTTTTGGACATTCATATGTTCACATGACAATGGAAGGCATGACCTGCAGCTAACACATGACTAATCGGTGGAAATCAGCCTCATTCTCTCGGTTCTGTGACAATACTCTGTGATTCTATTATTCATGTTACAGTTTAGATCATGGACGATTTACGAAACGCCCTAGAGCTCTGTTGAAATGAGGCTTTGTGGGTGTTTCTTAGCTCGATGGGCTCTTTACTACTCGCCTGTGGTTGTTTTGACATATTGATAAAACTCTGTTATTACTGCTGAGCATGATGACTACAGACCATAAAGTGTTAATTTAGGGTGCTGGAGTTCAGATCGCGCTAAGCGCGGAGTAATTGATCTGAGATCGGTGTGCGGCATTTCATTGTCAAATCATTATGATTTGTGATTAGATCAGCACAGAAATGAGGTTTTATTGCTAAGCAGTAAAATGCAGATAGCAAATATTAATCTTATCTGTGTAACCCTGGAAAGTGGGATATAGTACTTGCCAACAATATCCAAGAGGAGTAGCAAGTGTGAAGTAGAGCAGCATGTATATAAATATATATATGTATATATAATATATAACATAAACACATCTATATTTTAAAATCATTCATTCTGTATTTCCTGGCCTCACCTTATATTCCGGATTACCTCATGTATAATTTTGCACACAAGCATAATTTAAATTCATATTTATAATTTATTTATAGTCTATTTATAATTTATTGCATTTACTTTGTTTGTAAAGTCAAATTTAATGGAATATATAAAGAGGGAATTGCTATTAATACAAGTACAGAGACAGAATTTCCTCAGTAAATATCTAGCTTAGTGTCTGTGATTATGGTGTGACCGGTGGGGGGGGGGTGTGGGAGGCATATTCATTCCCTCTTGAGAGAGTGTCGATTGTACCAAACCGCCCACAAACCTCGGGCCTGCCATCCAGACATCCACAAAGTAATTATCCCCCGGTCACTGAATTGAATAACGGCGTGCATCTCTATAAAAACGAGCGCTTGTTTTAACTTCCGGAAAAGTCCACCTTGATGTGTTTTTCCTCTTGTCTCCTAAGACAAACCCCACCTTCATGTCCTCATCCTGCAATCACAAGCAAGGCCGTGTCTTTCTACGGCTCCCATGTTCAATATGCTAGCACTAGCAGCCTTTTTAAGGATTCCTCTTCCCCGCTCACTATCCTTCTCCCGGCCTCCTCCAGGAAAGCCCTCCGTTTCCCCACCTCCTTACCTGCTCTCCCTGCCAGCTGTTTTCTCCGCTCTGGCATCCATCACAGCGGGTGAAGGCTCACGCCGCCAAGCTAGGAGGACAGGAGCAGGAAAGCGGGTGGTTTTGCTCCATCTCCTTCTCACCGTGACCATCCTGGAGGGGAGGAACAAACTGTTTCTGCCAGATGCGTCACAGATGAAGACGCAAATGGATCCAAACGAGCCCCGGGCGAGTTATTGTGCTTGGATCTTTTAAGAACCACACTCTCAGTTTGAGAATTCCATACATCGCAACAGTCCAGAGCCAGGGCTGTTTCCCAAAACCTTCGTAGTGTTATGATAATCGTAACTTAATGGAAAACTTAAGTTATCTGAAAACACGGGAAAGGGTATAAACGACAATATAAAATAAACATGACGGACCTAGACGTCTACTAATATGCATGTGTACGATGGACAAAATAAAGCATCATTAGTTGTAAGCAGAGCATCTTTGGCTAAGAAGCCTTGTGAGTGTTGCCATTAACAGCAGAAGCAAACCCAACACCCCCAGAATTATCAGGGCGTCAAAAATTAAACCTCCAGCAAACGTTGTTTCCCCAAAACCGCCCTTGTTTACCTACAACACGGATGCCTGTTCGCATCTAAAATTAGACAAACATGGAGAGCAAATTAATTTCAAATTGATACACCGATTACAATGTTTTACAGGCACAATATCAGGATAACAGAGGAAATTACTGTGCAATGTTTACGGGGTTCTAAAACAGCTGAGAGCACAAGAGAGGCGGACGACCGCAGCGTGAGGAACGTCACAATAACAGAACCCCCACGCGTGCTGCGATATCCGATCTGCGGCATCATCACGCTTCCACGGTTCTGGCCTGGAACCAGAAAGCCTGGTGCTGCTGCAGAGGGCTTCAGTGCTTCTCTGGAGGAGGATCCATGCTGCCTGAGTGCTGCCTTCATTCCTCCTTATAGGACGTCACAGATCACAGGCCTAAATGAGCCTTTTCCAGTCAGCACCTCCTTTATGGCTCATTCATTGCTAGAAACATTTCTTCCCACACAAATGATGACTTAAACTGGACAATTTATAATATAAGGTACTACATTTTTATCTTATATATAAACTGTGGTCATTTCTTTACTGTAGGCTTACCTTCAGTACTGAACAAACTAGTCGCAATAAAAGTATTTTAATTGTATGAAAATATATGTGATATATAATGAGCTGAAACTCAATCAGTGAGTATTCAACTCAGATATCAATCAGGGATAATTATGGCCAAAACATATATGTTGTCATGCTTAAAATGTGTATAAAAATACATGTTTCAGGGCTTTTCTTATCTTGATTTACTCAACATTAAAATGATCAGTAATAGAAGCAGAAACACATGAATACACTGATCCCCAATATATTTTTCCCATCTGCCCATATCTATGGGAGAAGGTCAGACTGAGCGAAGCAAATATTCATTCTCCCTAAATTGAGGCAGAGAAGCACCTGTGACACTACGGGACACGTTTAGTTTAATTCATTATTGCTTTCCCCAACTTTCAGGCTTAAGCTGAATATGTTGAAAGTAAAACTTTGAACAAACTGCAAGCTGCGAGGTTTGTACCAATATGGCGGGTTTACATTAGATACAGCGTTTACATTTACATCTATTCATTTAGCTAAAGCTGTTGTCCAAAGTCAGCACAAGCGATGCATATACTGTAATATACCACAAGGACTCAGCTGTCGAGGAGCCAACTTATGAAGGCAGGCCGCTAGGCTGAGCTCCCAGTGACTGACCAGTGACAAGCTGCACATTGTTAGAGCCTAACGCGAGAGCGGCGAATCACATAAAACAAAACGCGGACTAGCTTCCTACAAGACAAGTGAAAAATTCAAGAGAATAGCATCCAGCACTGTCCAGTGAGACCGCAACCAAGAAAAGGTCAGCAAAGACACAAAAAGAGGGGCCGGGGTGGGGGGCTGATGAGTGCAGAGGGGGGATGAGTTTTGGGAGGTTTATTGAAGGACAAATTCCCAGGGATGTTTCGTGGGGAGGCTGCCGTCATACACAACTCCTTCCATTATGTAAAACAAATATCTTTACACAGTGGGACCTCGGTATACTATGGAATAAGTCCAACTTGGTATACGTCCTGTTTGGAATAAGTCCAACTTGGTATACGTCCGCTTTGGAATAAGTCCAACTTGGTATACGTCCTGCTTCGACGTGAATATTTTTGCTTGGTGTACGACCTTTGTCTGGAATATGACTCACATGCTAGAACTTGTATGGGTCAAAATGAGTCACGACACCACGCGCTACCCTTGTTTGCCTCTTGAGACAAAGCCAGGACTGCCCAGCAGCGTCAGTACGCCAGTTGCTACCATTCCCACGCTATAACTCGCTTTTCTTTTATTTCATCTAATCGCTTTTGTATTTATGTATTTTAGTATTAAGCAGTGTTTAAATTATTTTATACAACCCCTATCAATGTACAATATGCCAATAACAATAGGATTTTTTTTCATGGGAACGTTCCCTTTATTTCTTATGGGAGAAATCCATTTGGTATACGTACCATTTGGTATAAGTCTGGAACGGATTAAGGACATACAGTATACCGAGGTACCACTGTATTAGGTTTGTACATTTATTGGCTGTTGAGATTCCGATCACTTTGCAGTTATCCTCAAACTTACGAGGCACAGACAGTCTCTTCAGCAGCAGTACTTTGGACAGTGGAGGCTGTGCCGGAAAACACACACACACAGACGGAGCTTCGCCTTCCACCGGCGTCCTCAGATGTGGCGCAAACTCTGGCAAAGCCGTAAGTGGCTATCCTCGCAAAGGTAGAGAGAGGAGCACAGCATTACTCATCAGCTCTGACAGCCAAATGATCCGAACCCACGCTCGCTTAACTCCGCCTGTCGGATCCGCCACGGCCCCCGCCCGTCTGGGGATGCTGCACCGCCGGGCACGGCTGAACCTCGGAATTTACTTTAGAAGACTATAAGAGTTACTTTCTGCTGTACTTACTTTTTGCTGCACTTCAGGACGGTGATGCTACAGGAATTGCTGACGGTGTAAATTGTCTGTTAAAAGCACCGTCTCGTATCAGAGAAAGTCTCATATTTAATAACATAATACTTTCTGGCCATAAGGAGAGAACGCCTGGTCGTTTAATGTCCATTTCAGTCAGCCTGCCACTTCACAGTAAAGGCCAAAATGCAGCCGTTTAATTAAACTCCAATGTACTTGTCACCATTCTTGTGCCTATACAGGAAAATACACATAATAATGATACATTATGTTCTGGTAGCAGGTTGCATTTGTCACACCCACGCTTTTGCTCTGCTGCTACGGAGTATGAGCTGGGGGCTCGTGTTTACCTTCCCTGTGTCCCTCATTAAAGTCTCCGTGGTTACCTCACCCTTTTTAGTTAATTGGTTAATTACCCTGCTCGTTGCATTCCACATTCCTGTGCACCTCATCTACGTTTTAGCTCCTGATGTCATTATCCTCATGTTATTCACCTGTGTTGCTGCCCTACTCCGCATGCGCCTTTCCTCACGCTCGCGGCTCAGCATTTTCACCGTCTCCCTGGTTCCTGTAGCCCCCGCCTCCAGGTGCCGCACGCCCAGCCAATCCCGTTCAGTGGTTCCATCCTCCACACTGGCCCAGCCCCCGGGTCTGTGTATATGGCGGCCGATGGATTTTCCTTGTATAGTGAAAAAAAAATGTAATCCCCCCCAATTTTTGTTTTTGATTATGATGATTAGATTGAAAAAAGAAAAAAATGGGCAGTTATCTGATTTTCTTTAGTATGATTATAAACAAAAATTGGACAATAAAATATCTGTATGGATGTGGGCTCCGTTGACAGTTTTGTTGTGACCCGGAAATTCTTGCCGCAAACCTGTAGCATTATTTTGCAGTCTAGTGGGAAGCTGGACAATATTCCTTAGCACAAGTAAAGAGATTTTATTGTTGATAAACATAGAAACGGAGAAAGCTGATATTGCATTGGCGTTATGCACTCACTTTGGGGCGAGACGTGGGTTTTCAGAGAGGACTGTGCAGAGGTCATGTGCTGAGCAGAGTCTTGGAAGGATCAGCAAAACAAAAAACACTAACTTTTTGTTTTCTGGTTTTTGTTTTTCCGCTATACAATGAAAATCCATTGGCCGTGATATAAACGCACACACCTGCCTGTCGGTCTTGCCCACCCTGCCTGCCACGCCGCTCCCCGGTCTCCTGATCCCAGCGACCGCCACTGCTCCATCCTCAGGCCGGCTAATCGACGTTCTGCCTCCCACCTGCCGCCGTTTCCTCTCCTCTTTGCATTGTTGGTTTCTGGCTGTTCAGAGCGAGGCCCAGTGTGTTGTTTTTCCTCTCTCCATGTTTTTGTTATTTCTGTTATTAGTAAACCCTTATGATGCTGTAATCCCACACCTGCATGCTCCTTGCCTTTTATGTCACCACGTTACAGCACTGACAGAAATTACTAAAGAATTTTTAAAAGATTTCCATTCAGGTTACCTTCTGTATGACAACAGAAGCATTAACACCTACATACCAGGGATGTGAGATAGATTTTGGTCATTGAAGGGGACCAATAATAAAAATGCAATATGTACCAAAGACATGGACATGTCCTGAATTTGCCGAGTTTGACGTGCCCCTGGGTCAACAAGGGAGGGCCTTGTGTTTCACTTCTTCGACCAATATCAGTCTTTATTGCATGACATCACCACATTAATTAAGACCAGTGTTTTCTGTTAAGCGGCATAGAGCACAGATTTGTAAAGTACAGTACCTGTTTTAATGTGCATGGCTTTTGTTAAGGGACATGTCATAGACACAAAGCATAGGAACATGCTTAAATCCTTGAATGTGAAAATGAGATAAAATGGACCAGTGTGGTGATGTCATACAACGAAGACACTGATTGGTTAAAGAAGTGAAACACAAACAAATCCCTTGTTGACCCAGGGACACATTGAACCGAGACCACAGACATGGTTTCATGGTATTTCAAAACGTACCCTACACAGTTTTTTTTTTTCCCACCACGGATACAGATGCGTCTTGTGGTGGACATGTTGTCCGTGTATAGACAGCTTGATTATCCAACAGAGGTGAGGGGAACAACTTAATATGCAAAGGTCTATCATTGATTCCAATTACTAATATTCAATAGCTAATGAGCATCCTGTGAGGGAACCAGCATTAAAAACACAGATAACATCGTGATAGATGGTTGTAATTATATCCACAACTAATTCATTCCGTATTGGACTAAGGATTTCATCATTAAAAATGGCCTTTCAGCACGATGCTGGCTGAGGACCGTGGAACAAGTGCTGGACAATCGTGATGTATGTAGTCCGTGTAAAATTTTTACCTTTTTTATTATGCACTGAAAAAACTACATATATGCATATATTTGCGCACAAGTAAAAGCTATTGTGTCCCTAAGGTATGGTGAGTAGGTTGCACGGCCTCTGACACTGTTTTCACAGTCACCTTACCTTCATCATCTGGTGCTGGAGGCATTAATCAGGCGCTAATTAAAACGTATCGTCTGAAATCAGTGGGACGGCCGCCTTAGATCCCCAAGCTCACAGGCCAGCAGTCGATTCCCGTCTGTTGAGTTTGCGCCAATTTCCGGCCTCTCACTTAACCGCTCACTCATCTACAGCGTGTGCAACAAGTTTCCAGGTCCTGAGCAGTGACCCCATGAAGTTTGGGCTGACGTGGGTTTTTAGCGCTGTGATGGCACCCCTCTGCTTGCCTTCATGTTGGTCTGGGGCGTCTGCAACATGCAAAGCCTAGAGACCGTGTCCAGGATGCAAAACAGCTGTTCTGGAAATCAAAAGTGTCACCAATCGATAAGGCCCACAGTCCTTCTGTTCTGCATTTCTGCTTCACATGTGCTGCCTTTGGGAACGTCCATAGCTGATTTAGGCTGCCCTTAACCGATTAGTCAGGAAACAGCTAGACAGTCATTCAGTTTTGTGTGTGGCATGAAGTTGGTTGCCGTGGTAACACTGGAGGCGATGTTCACAAGCTGTGGGGATAGTTTGTGCGAATGACTAAAAATGGCAGTGATACAATGTCTGATGCTATATGTGAAAATCTGAGCCTAACTGGTGTTTCCTGTGCCTTTAAATACCGGCCTCCAATCATTACTGGGATGTTATTTCACAGGTATGGATGTTCCAGCCGGTGTCTGCAATATAGAAGGTGTTCCTTGCAGTCTCCGGCCTAAAACTGTAGAATATTATTGAGAAACTGTAAGATTATGTACAGTATGAGTTAACTCCTTTTAGAAGAATGGGTATGAGTCATTTGCTTTCTCAAATCTAGACCTATTGGGGATAATTTTTTCTGTAATATTTAGAGAGGAAGAGAGATATTTACCCAAACATCATGTAGGATGCTGAAAGGAGAGACTCATGTGGGTTTATAAATATCTATATACTGTATCTATGTCAACACTCTTCCAGTCACTGGTGTCTCCATTGCCGGTGGCTTCCCAGTTAGTATCGTATGAAACGTTCCAGCTTAGAACCACAAAACCGAAAACTGATATGATATGAATGAAAAGGCACATAGTGGCAAAAGTATCATGCTACAATTCAGCTGAAAACACGCAGCTCCGAAAAAGAGATTTGGCACATGGTGGATCATAATTAAATGGCTGTTAAAACCAGGGTCCGCCTGCAGTCGCTTAAGCAGAAGAAGACCGACCCGACCTCACCCTGCCTCTCCCAGTCCTGTATGCCGCCCCGCCGCCTCTCCCAGTCCTGTATGCCGCCCCGCCGCCTCTCCCAGTCCTGTATGCAGCCCAGTCGCCTCTCCCAGTCCTGTATGCAGCCCTGCCGCCTCTCCCAGTCCTGTATGCCGCCCCGTCGCCTCTCCCAGTCCTGTATGCTGCCCCGCCGCTTCTCCCAGTCCTGTCTGCCGCCCCGCCGCCTCTCCCAGTCAAGTATGCCGCCCCGCTGCCTCTCCCAGTCCTGTATGCCGCCCCACTGCCTCTCCCAGTCCTGTATGGCGCCCTGCTGCCTCTCCCAGTCCTGTTTGCCGCCCTGCTGCCTCTCCCAGTCCTGTTTGCCGCCCTGCTGCCTCTCCCAGTCCTGTATGCTGCCCCGCCGCCTCTCCCAGTCCTGTATGCCACCCCGCCGCCTCTCCCAGNCCTGTATGCCACCCCGCCGCCTCTCCCAGTCTTGTATGCTGCCCCGCCGCCTCTCCTGGCCCCGTTTGCCGCCCCACATGCCGCTCCACCCTGCCTCTCCCAGTCCTGTATGCTGCCCCGCTGCCTCTCCCAATCCTGTATGCCGCCCTGCCGCCTCTCCCAGTCCTGTATGCCGCTCCACCCTGCCTCTCCCAGTCCTGTATGCTGCCCCGCTGCCTCTCCCAATCCTGTATGCCGCCCTGCCGCCTCTCCCAGTCCTGTATGCCGCCCAGCCGCCTCTCCCGGCCCCGCCGCCTCCCCACCATGCATCTCCCAGCCCAAGCTGGCCTATGTGTGCTGTCTGCCGTAGGACACAGAGCTTATGAATCCTCATGTGTGGGTCTCATATGAAGCGATTATGGAAAGGCTCAGTGTGAAATTATCCCCTCTATAAATTCACAAAGCGAGTGCTTCAGGCAACCTGGCACAATGAGAGGCTTCTTGATCTATGCCTAAAATATATTACAATCAAGAAGTGGTCGACTATATGTGACTGTGTGTGAGTTTATACAGTGTTCCTGCAGAGTTTGGACTGGAAGGGATTTTTAATTATATTCAAATATCTAGATTTTTTTCTCAGATTTTGTTTGGAGCCTCAGTGCTGCGGGTTAATCACAGCTTTTATAAGGGAGGGGTGAGGATAGATTTGCATCACTCAGAATTTTAATGCAGATGTGGGGGGGTGTATGTGGCTCAGCCATAGCTGGTAGCAAAATGTGTGAAGAATTGGGCTTTTTAAGCCTTTAGCAAACCCTGCAATGCTCTCATCTGCGCCCCCTACAGGTACGTATATCAGCCATACATGCTGAGCTGTGTCAGAAAGCCCAGCACTAAATCAAACAAGTTAAAATGATTGCATTTCAATATGAAGTGGAAAACACCAAACCTGGCATATAACACAACACGACGCATAACAAAATTGTGATGATTATCACAATCAACTATAACGCCAGTTATTTAATATCATGGACAGATCAATGGCTGCATTTCATTGAAGAAAGTCCAAGAAAACAGAAATCAGATATAAACAATATAGTATCACACATAGGAAAATAAGGGCTACATATTATCAAAACAAGTTTCAATTGTTAGTGCAGACATATTCACTTAAAAATGAATTGTTCTTT